CTCTTTTAAATTCCTTATCCACAGAACAGCCACAGTAGAATCATAAATTGTATCATGTCCCTCCCTGTTTTAAACTCCTCTGACAGCTCCCATCACACTCAGTCTGACCTCCTTTCCATAATTTACAAGGTCCTATGTAATCTGGTCCCTTGTATCTTTCTAACCATTTCAAACCATCTCCCATTCTCAAAGTATGTTTTCGTTCTTCTGGCCTCCTTTCTCCTCTTCAAACAGGCCCAAAGCTCTCTTAGAGCTTTGTACTTTTTCTTCCCTTTGCCAGAATGTTCTTCACCACCTTCTTCCTATGGCTGGTTCCTTTACATTCTTTACATCTTAGCTCAAATCCCACGTCTTTGGATAGGCTTTCCCTGACCACTCTATCTAAATTTGGTCTCCATTAGTTGCTTGCTATCCATGCTTTCTTTCCTAGCTCCTAGCACAACTTGCAAACATCTTGTTTGTCTCTTCTCACAAAAAAAAAAAAAAAAGGAAACCCACTCACCTCTCGGCTTTCAATCACAAGCTCACTCACACAGCGCAGAAACATGTTTTCTCCTTGACTATCTTTTTCATCTCAAAAAAAAAAAAAAAACAACTCAGTTTCTAAGAATAAGGACTCTTTTGTTCTGTACCATATTCGCCATACCTAGAGTTTGAGATGTTGGAGGGACTCAAGAAATGTTTGTTGAATTACTCACTGTTTATGTTTTCTGATGCTTGAGACTACTGCCATTTCCTTATTATATAGCAATAAATGGTCAGTTGGTTTAAGAGTTTTTAAAAGTGAGGTACTTTGAGCCCATCTAAATGTTTTTCAGGCAGGTATACTTGATCATCTTGATTTTGAATGTCTTGTTATGAGATATTATCAATGAAATTATAATTTGTTTCAGGATAATTCAGCATAATTGAGGCTATACTTATTAGTATGGTGGTTAAAGGAGGAAGATTTTAGTTTTGTTGCCACCTTTTCCTACATGTGGTAACCAGCAAATGCCTATAGCAAAGTGTACCCATGTCTTTTATGCTATTGGGGGGAATCTTTGAAGCAGGTGGACAGAAACCCAGACTGTTGAAGTTTTGGGGAGACTGAATCTTCTACCCTTGAGTGAGAGTGTAGGCCTTATGTCTAATCTTTGTTGCCCAATAGTTCACACTGATATAACGTGAATGAGTAGATAATTATTTTCTTTCTTTTTTTTTTTGAGACGGAGTTTCGTTCTTGTTACCCAGGGTGGAGCGCAATGGCGCTGTCTTGGCTCACTGCAACCTCCGCCTCCTGGGTTCAGGCAATTCTCCTGCCTCAGCCTCCTGAGTAGCTGGGATTACAGGCATGAGCCACCATGCCCAGCCAATTTTTTGTATTTTTTGTAGAGATGGGGTTTCACCATGTTGACCAGGATGGTCTCCACCTCTTGACCTCATGATCCACCTGCCTCGGCCTCCCAAAGTGCTGGGATTACAGGCGTGAGCCACCGCGCCCGGCAATTATTTTCTTTCTTACATTTCCTCTTTGCTGACTTGTTAAACTTAAAAAGGCTGCCTGTAAGACACCTCAGCTTCTCTGTGATGGGATGTAGTACTAAGTAAGAGGGGGGAAAAAAGATAATATTCACTAAAATTGAAATATTTAAAATTTAATCTTTAAAATTATGTATAGTTGTATCCTCTTTTTTATATTATTATATTTTAATTTCTGGTGTACACGTGCAGAACATGCAGGTTTGTTACATAGTTATACACGTGCCATGGTGGTTTGCTGCATCCATCACCCTGTCATCTACATTAGGTATTTCCCCTAATGCTATCCCAACCCTTGTCCCCCACCACGACAGGCCCCAGTGTGTGATGTTTCCCTCCCTGTGTCCATGTGTTCTCATTGTTCAACTCCCACTTATGAGGGAGAACATGTGGTGTTTGGTTTTCTGTTCTTATGTTAGTTTGCTGAGAATTACGGTTTCTAGCTTCATCCATGTCCCTGCAAAGGACATGAACTCATCCCTTTTTATGGCTGCATAGTATTCCATGGTGTATATGTGCTACATTTTCTTTATCCAGTCTATCAGTGTCCTCTCTTATTACAAACTTCTATCATTTCAGTGCTCTCTGATTTTGTGACTTTAGTATTACACTGCAATGTAGGAGAAATGTGATGGATAATAGGAAGTAAATCTAGTTTTTCTCTGTACCTGTCAAGTATAACACTAAATGAGACTACAGAAATAAAGCTATTACATGATTAGTATCTATAATTACCCATGAAGTAATTTTTTTCCCCAAGATGAAAGCACACAAGGTTATTGTATTTGGAAAGTTCCTTCTGAGGGGACCCGAAACTATTCTTTTTTGTGCCAGTCATGAACAGCCATTAATCCTTAGTGTCTTTGGTCCTGTACAGACAGACTTGAGCCTGTTTCCACTTGTACTCATTTAGTGTAACTTAACTAATGTAAAAACAAAACTTCTTCAAATGATTGCCCCATTAATTGACTGATAGGATCTACATTTCTTTTGACTTTTTAAAAATTGCATTGACTTTATTTTTTTGTTTACAAAAATTTCATTCTACATTCAAATGTTTTGTGAGAAAAATATACATAGCTCATTTTACTCTGTTAGAAATCTTTCTGCATTTGGTGCCAGAGAAGTATCTGAAATGTCTGGGTGAAATACTACTGCTGTTTTGATCCCATATTGCCCAGTAGCTTCTGGAGCTTGGGTAATATACAGAGAAACTGAATGAATTTCAACCTAAGCACCTCAAATAGTACCTCCGCAGTGTTTGCTGACACCCTCATTTGATTACTAAGTTCTTACTAACTTAACAACAGTAGTCATTACCTGAAATAACTTTATATACTTATTTACTGTCTTCTCACCTAGAAAGCTGGCTCTTTACTTTGGATCCCCACTTCCTAGAATTTAAATGATTGTGGAATGAATATGTTAATATCTTAATCATTTATAAATAGTGCTTTAAAAAAATCTTGGAACATTGAGACTCAGTATTTCAGTCACTGACAAATTCTCATAGGGATATAAATTCTGCCTATTACTTTTTCTTTTGTAAATATCTTCAGACCCTTATTTATAGCTTAAACTCTAGCTGCAAATCAGTGGGAGTTGGTAGCCACTTAAAGAAAATTTGATTTGTATACCTAGTTAAATGAAACTCCGAAAAAGTTTTTTTTTTGTTTCGTTTTTGAGATAGGGCCCTGCTGTGTTGCCCAGGCTGAAGCGCAAGTGGCACTCACTGCAGCATTGACTTCCCACACTCAAGCCATCCTCCCACCTTAGCCACCCGAGTAGCTGGGACCACAGGCATATGCCGTGACCGCACCTGGCTAATTTCTGTGTTGTTTATTTTTGAGACGGAATTTCACTCTTGTGGCCCAGGCTGGAGTTCAATGGCGCAATCTTGGCTCACTGTAACTTCCATCTCCCGGGTTCAAGCATTTCTCCTGCCTCAGCCTCCCGAGTAGCTGGGCTAACAGTAATGTGCCACCACACCCAGCTAATTTTTTGGAGACGGGGGTTTCACCATGTTGGTCAGGCTGGTCTCAAACTCCTGACCTCGTGTGATCCACCAGCCTTGGCCTCCCAAAGTGCTGGGATTACAGGCATGAGCTACAGTGCCCGGGCACACCTGGCTAATTAAAAAAATTTTTTTTTGTAGAGACAGGGTCTTACTGTTGCCCAAGCTGGTCTTGAACTACTGAGCTCAAGAGATCTGCCTGCCTTGGCCTCGCAGCGTTGGGATTACAAATGTGAGCTACCACACCTGCCCAAAGTATTTTTATCCAGGCTTCCAACCGTATACAAGTTATTTCCTACATTTCTCCGAGGAATTGCATCCCATTGTACAAGCTTCCTCATCCTGGAAGGTGAGTGAATGGATGGGGGTGCTGAAAATTTATAAGATTAGTTTGATCCAAACTGATATATTTTGGTTCCATGGATTAAATAAGACTGTGAGGTCATATGTAAGCAAGGTTTTTCTTTTTTAGAAAGCGTTTCTTCCCTATAACTTGGTTAAAATTCCACAGTTCCTCCCTTCATCATACTTAAACATTAAGACAGATTTATTAAAATTCTAAATAGCGCAAAAAGGATTAGATATCTGTACATATATGTCTTTAGGCTTCCTGCCTTCGTTGGTTTCACTTCTGATTTTGTTGGTTACCAAGGAAACAGCCTAACTCCTGAGCCACCAATCACTAGCTCTTCCAAGAGACTAATTCCCTGTGTCAGGGTTCGAGGCGCTAGTATAAACACTGAGGGCGACTGCCCGCAGTCCCTGCCCAAGGTCGTCTTTGCGGGGTGCCATGGCTGTGGCAAGGGTGCCCCGAGGTCCTCCACCAGTCCCCGTGAGCCAGCCTCCGCGCTGTCCAGATTCTAGACCTTTCGCGGGTCGGCGCGGCCTACTAAGGGCGGGCCTGGGGTCCTGGGCTCAAAGTTCAGCCTTGACCACGGCCCCACGGGTACGCTCGTGTGCCTTCAGTGCTACAGGGCCAGCCTGACTCTGCCGGGTGCGGAATGGAGGTGTGAAGCCACAGAAACTAGGGAGGGGCTGACAAGCGATTGTTGGTTGCCCGTGGTTCCCTAAGCAACTCTGTGGGTATGGGGGTCGAAGGTTTCTGAACTCCAAGGCCCGTAGCATCGTCCCCGCGCCACCCTGGCTAGCCTCTGATGGCCGCTGACAGCCTCACGCGGGAGTATCGACACTGACCCCGCTCCCGCTACACATCCCTACCCACCTTCCAGCCCCGCCCCGTGAGCTGCCACGTGACGGGACCCGCCAGTGAGCCTATGGAAGACAGCTCCGCCCCACGCCCCCGCCTTGCCCCCTGCTCCGCGCGCCGCCACGTGATGCGGCCTACCTCCAGCCAATGAGCGCCGGCCTCGCCTCACGCCCCGCCCCGCGCGCCGTGGCCGTTTGAAGTGACTAATTTCTGTCATATGACTGAGGCGCCCATGGGGGTGGCGGGGCGGCTGTAGGAGCGGGGGCCTAGCAAGCGCCCAGCGGAGCGACCCCTGCCTGGCCGTGGCTACCATGGCCCCTACGCTGTTCCAGAAGCTCTTCAGCAAGAGGAGCGGGCTGGGCGCGCCCGGCCGCGACCCCCGGGACCCAGATTGCGGGTTCAGGTAGGGCGCTGTAGGGCTGGGGTCGCGGAGCCGATGGTCTTGTGGGCTACGAGCTCCAGGAGTGTTGGGGCCTTCGGTGTTGAGACTCGCGCGGAAGTGCCGCGCGGAAACCAGCACCTGGTCCACGGTGGGGTGGAGCCGGCTGCGGGCTCGCGGTGGAGGGTTGAAGCGAGGTCCTGTCTCTCCTCTTACCCCACCCCCCTCGCCGGTGCCCCTTCCCCCTCCTCCCGTCGGTTTGTTTACGACCTGTCCCCAGCCACGCGCGACTCTGCTCCTCCGGACCTAGCACCGCGGCCTGAGACTTTGGGTCCACACGCCTTCCTGGCACAGAGTGGAGTTGGGCGCGGGCTGGATTGGACCTCAGCCGCCGTACTCCGGGGCCGCGAAGTTCTCCCCTCCTCCCCGTGACCAGTCGTCCTCCGGGTGCTGCGTTCCAGCTTGGTTGGCGTTGTGGAGAGAGCAGCACGTTTGGCCAAGCTACTGAGTTGAGAGAAGGTTGGAGGAGTGAGTAGGCAAGGTGCTGTTCTTTCAGGTTTTTTGGACGCTAAAATTGGCGGTGTGCAGTAACTGAACCGAGCGACCTTAATGTTATCAAAAAAGAAATGTGAAACCTAAGGGTTTAGGGCTACTACTGAAGCAAGACCAAATTAAATGAAATCTGGTCTTGGAATTGGCTGTAGATTCTTCCTCCTCAGAGCTGTTACTGAAAAGGAGTCTTAAAAATTGAAAAGGTTAGCAGAGTATTTTGTGGTGTTGCAGGCTTTGTTAATTTTTCATTGTAGTACCTGTTGCTGACAGAATAACTTTTTAGAATTGTAAGATTTGATGTACACCTAGATTCAAAGTAAAATTTAGTTGTTAAACTGCGCCCGAGGAAGAGATTATGTCCAAACGGCCTTTATACGTATTGCAGTGTGGAAACTTGCAAATATAACTAGGCTAAATGTCAAATACCACACAAACTTGGTAGGATAGGAGAGAGCCCAGTTGTACAGCAGTAGTAGAAACAAACAAATAAACAAAAAGAGAATCTGTCAAATTTTGGAACGGGCAAAATTGAAATGATTGTGCCACAGTAGTAAGAAATTTTGATATTATTAAAATTATTCACTCTCTCTTGCTGATGCAGGTCTCAGCAGAAAACACTCAATAAATGCATGTGGAATTGAAGACATTTTTCCACTAATCTGTCTTTTCACCTGAAAAATAAATGTGCCATGCTCATCTGTCTCTCTTTAAACATTTCTTTAGTGTTGTTTTTCCTTTGAAAAATGAAAGTGCATCTTAGTTAATACTATATTGAGCCATTGAGTAACTCAAGAGACAATAGGAAACAGGTTCCAATTGGATATTTAGAAGGTGGCATTTGAATAGACAACTGCTTTCTGTTTCTGTGCAAAGATTGACTTTGGGTACCTAGGTTTACAAGGGTCTCAAGTCACTCACATAAAAAAAATTTCTCGTCTATTTTTTAAAGTAAAGTCTACTGTATAGTTGTGCAATACTGTTTTACAGTTACCAAAAGACTTTCTCATCAGTTATCTTATTTGATGTTTCACAACAATCTTACGAGATAGAGCAAATAGCAGTACAGACAACTATATACTTTTGCTAGTGGAAGTAAGAATTATCAGTAAGCCCAGTAACTGCAGTACATTGTAGAATTGCTCACTTTAAAAATGAAACGTGTGCATGTGAGAAATGAAAACTGATGAAATAGAACAGGCATATCTGAAGAAAAAAATTAAAATTCTGGTTAATGTCACACAACTAATAACTTACAGATCTAATCAACCCAGGATTTTTAAAAAACAATTTCATTGAGCTATAATTTATACACAACAAAGTGTAAATACATTTTAAGCATACATTGTATACAGTTGTATACCCACCACCCCAATGAAGTTTTAGAACTTTTCCATCACCCAAAAAGTTCCCTCATGCTCTGTTGCAGCCTAACCCCTCCTCAACCAGGTCACTGATACTTTCTGCCCATAGTCTTGTGTGTGGGTTATTTGTTGCATTTGTTAGTTCCTTTTATTTTTTTGAGACAGGTCTCACTCTGTCAACAGGCTGGAGTGCGGTGGCGCAACCATGCCTGATGCATCATGAACCTCCTGGGCTCAAGCGATCCTCTCACCTTGGTCTCCTAAAGTTCTGAACTTACAGGGATGAGCCACTATCCAGCCAGTTCCTTCAATTTTATTACTGAATGGTATTCCATTGTGTAGATATACCATGATTTGTTTATTCACTCACTAGTTGGAGGACATTGGTTTTTTTTTTCCAGATTTGGGCTATTATGAATAATGCTGCTGTTAATGTTTGTGTATAAGGCTTTATGTGGACATATATTTTCATTTCTCTTGGGTGGATACCTAGGAGTGGGGTTGCAGAGTCATATGCTAAGTGTTGTGTTTAACTTTAAAAAAAATTGTCAGACTTTTAAAAAATAGTTGTACCATTTTGTATTCTCAGTAGCAGTGCGTGAAGGTTAAAGTTTCTTCACAGTCCCTTCAATATTGATATTGTTATTTAATTAAAACATTTTATTGTAAAAAACCTACAAAATTTACATTTTTTTTTTTTTTTTTTTGAGATAGGGTCTCTCTTGCCCAGGCTAGAGTGCAGTGATGCAATCGGCTCATTGCAGCTTTGACCTCCTGGGCTCAAGTAATCCTCCCACCTCAGCCTCCTGAGTGGCCTCCCACTTTGGCCTTCCAAAGTGCCGAGATTACAGGCATGAGCCACTATGCCTGGCTGAAACTTACTGTCTTAATTGTTTTTTTGATTCTTTTGATTATAGCCATTTTAATAGTATCTTGTGGTTTTAATTTGCATTTCCCAAAGATCATATTCAGCATCTTTTTATGTAACCCAGGTTTTTGAGTAGACTCACGTTTAGTTTTCATTCTAGTATATCATGCCTTCCTTGCAGGAATCCTTTTTTGGGGAATTAGCACTTTTTTTTTTTTTTTTGAGACCGTGTTTCGCTCTTGTCACCCAGGCTGTAGTGCAATGGCACAACCTCGGCTCACTGCAACCTCTGCCTCCTGGGTTCAAGCGATTCTCCTGCCTCAGCCTCCTGAGTAGCTGGGATTATAGGCACCCGCCACCATGCCCAGCTGATTTTTGTGTTTTTAGTAGAGATGGAATTTCACCACTTTGGCCAGGCTGGTCTCAAAATCCTCATCTCAGGTGATCCACCTGGCTCGGCCTCCCAAAGTCCTGGGATCACAGGCATGATCCACTGCGCCTGGCCCATTATGCTTTTTTAAAAAGTGCCAGTTGTGGCCGGGCATGGTGGCTCACGGTGGCGGGTGCCTGTAATCTCAGCTACTCGGGAGACTGAGGCAGGAGAATCGCCTGAACCTGGGAGTAGGAGGTTGCAGTGAGCCGAGATCATGCCATTGCACTGTAGCCTGGGTGATGAGTGAAACTCTGTCTCAAAAAAAGAAATGTGCTGTGATCATGAACCGCAGACAAAATGATGTTTAGAATGTAATATCTTCATAACAGGTTTATTTTAAGGATTCAGAGATAAGTCATGTAAAGAACTTAATGTGGTGCTTAGCACGTGGCTTTCAGGAACCAGAGGTAGTTGTTATTGTTACGATATCAGTCTTGTGTAAGAACCACTTGGTTTGGGCCCAGACTCATTAAAGGAAGGCTTTTGCCTATTCTGCATAGTGAGACTTTTGCCAATTCACTAGCTTTGACTTTTTTTTTTCCCCATAATGACATTTAAAAAAATAGCCACTATACTATTATTGTACTCAATATAACTTAATGGAATTAATAGAAATTCCTTAATAAAAGCTAATCTTAGTCCATATTCCAATTTTCTGTCACCTCAATATGTCTTTTTATGGTAGGTTTGTTTGAGTCAGTCTTAAGAGTCTGTGTATTGCATTTGCAGTTAGGTAGCTTAAGTAATTTTTATTCTATAATAACCCTCCCTGCTTAAATGTGAAATTTCCCACATTGTGTTTGGCTTTTGCAGTCTTATGGTTTCCTAGCAATATGTGGTTTAAAAAGCCCCCTCCATGCAATTCTGATGCTCAGGTTTGCTGTAAGTTCGCTCTAACTTATTCCTCTATTTCTTGTATTTCCTGAAAACTTGAAATTAGATTTAGATATTTTATCATATTTAGGTTCCCTTTTTTTCAATAAAAATATTTTGTAGATGTTGTGTACTTCCTCTTCATCAAAGCTACATACCTGATTGCCCCACTTGTACTAGTTTCAGGTGGTATCGCCTTATTCTTCTGTTACATAAATTTCTCCTTTAATGATTTTAGCATTCTTTGTTGATTATTGCCTGAATTCATTATTTGTTAGAGTTTACAAAATGGTGATATCTTGATTCTCTAACTTTTTGTGCATTTATTTGCTGCAATAACTTTTATCAACTATTTGATTACTCCTTGCTACAGAAAAGGGAGCGTAAAAATTAGATGATTTCCCTATGCCATTTTCCAAAGTAATTGGTAATGAGTTGTTCACTGAACATTTTTTGTTTTAATTATCATTTTAAAAGATTATCATGAGCTGTTGAATTTTAATGTGTTTTAATCCACTCCAATCAAATTGTCTCACATTTGACCAACGGAAGCCTTTTTAGTTGACTTCTGTTTCTTTTTGCCATGACCTCATTAATCTTTGATAAATTCTTGCTTTCTTCTGGCCTGTGTCTTAATCTGTTCTCCTCCTTTTAAGATTTTATCACCTTGGATTTATTGTAGATTCTGGGATATGCCAAACTGTACTGCTCCCTGTTCTTGACATAGTCCTTACACCTTTTTGTTTAGCTTTTTGTAGTGATCATCTGGGCTTATTCTAATTATTCCTTGCTCCAGAAAGCCTTTTCCGATTTCTTCCAGACTAGGGTAGGTCTGACTGTAACTTTGTTTCATAGCTTATCGCATGTCCTTCTGTGACATCTATCACAGTTGTCATTGTCCACGTCTCTCTGCTTACTCTAGCGTTCTCTTCAGTGGTAAGCATTGAGATTTATTTTATAGTCGGGACTCTAAATTCACCTAATGAGTTACCTGTGGGGAGTAGATGCCTAGGTAGTTAGGTAGATGTCATTTTTTGGGGGCGAGGGGAGCAGGATCTCGCTCTGTCACCCAGGCTAGAGAGCAGTGGTATGATTTTGGCTCACTGCAACCTCTGCCTCCTTGACTCAAGTGATCTTCCCACCTCAGCCTTCTGAGTAGCTGGAACTATGAGGTGTGGGCCATCCTGCCTGGCTCATTTTTGTATTTTTTGTAGACATGGTGTTGCCATGTCTACATGGTTTCAGCGTGTTGCCCAGGCTGGTATAGAGGCTGATCTTGAAACAGTATCAAAAATAAACCTTCTCCCCATTTTCTATCAGAACACACTTTCTATCCATCATCGCTCTTTTAATAATTTATTATAATCCATCTCTCCCAAATTTTACATTATTGTGCCAGTGGACACCACAGTGTCTGAGCATATGCTCAGTAAATATTTGTAGAATGAATAAATGAAATAACAATTTTAAGGGCAGAGGGAGAGGGTCAGAAGTTCTATTTTGGATATTTGGTCTAGTTTTAATTGCCATTGAGATATCCACCTAGAGATGACAGTTCAATAAAGTCAATCTGGAGTTCACGGTAGAGATTGGGATTGGAGATAAGAGTTTGTGTGTATGGTTAATATTAAAACTACAGATGGATGAGATCATCTAGGAAAAGGGTATAGATAGAGAAGTGGAAAGGACCTAGGGCTTTGCCCTGAGGATGTGTTGAAATCTACAGATCTGAGAGAGGAAGATCTACAAAGACAGATAGGGAAAAGCCAGGGATCCAAGAAAAGGAAGTGTTTAAAAATGATAAGAGTGAGTGATAAATTAAGAAAAGGAAGTGTTTAAAAATGATAAGAGTGAGTGATAAATTGTTTGTATGAGATGAGAAACAGAAGAGTGTCCATTAGATTAGTCCAGATGGAGGTAATTGGTGACTTTGAGGGTTTTTTGGTAGGGAGGATAAATGTTTTGGGGAAAAAGTGAGAGAGATGTAGAGTAAATGTGAGGAAATGGCCTCACTACTTAACTTTCTGTTTATTATTTCTATAGACGAAATAATCTGTAGTGCTAGTTATTTTTTCACTTTCAGCGTTCTGATTTTATGTCACAGTTTGAGCTTCTGAATTTCTTAAAAGCTAGTTTCATAATATTGCCAACAATTTTAAGAGTCAT